ACAAAAAAATATTAATAGAAAAACAACACATCAGAACAATAACAAGAAAAAAAAATTACTCACCAACTAAATAAATCTCCACAAAGAGGGAAAAATAAAAGAGGAACAACACTACAAATCGTATGTAACTGTAACGTATTCAACAAATCAACGTGGTGACAACAAGTGAGAAAGAGACGAAGTGAAGCTAATACAGGGTGCCCACTACGAATGGGATCGGCTGATGGCCCGACTCGATCATCTAAAAAACAAACATGTTTGTTTTCAGTTTCAGGCGATCGAGACGGGTGGTTGGCCCGATCCAGCCATATTGGGCACCCCGTATTAGTGAACTTTCTGTCGCTTCGACTTTCATTCCCCGATTCGGGGACCAAAAAAGGCCAAAAAATCGAGCCTCAATTGATTGGTCGCGGCCGCGACAAACGCAGATGCTTGTTCTATGTGTTGTTATCAATAACCCTCAATAGATGTAGATTTAGACAGCACACAAGTGAACACAACACATTAATTTTTAGAGCAGCACCCTTCATAGGCAACACTGTAGCATTTCTTTATATAAATAAATATTTACTGCGAACATTTTTTGGACCGATTGAACCATATTGTATACGAACAATCTTTGGTAGGCCTATCCTATAATATAATTATAGGTCTATATATATCCGAAATTTGCGGGCGGGAAAGGATGTGATTTCAGAGTGTTTGGAGAAATAGTGCCCAGCTTTATTTTCCCGAACGTTCGGAGAAATAGTGCCAGCGTTTAAAAAATTTGATTGAATACTTTTAACTTTTACAATTTTCTGGGGTTTGTTTGTTTCAGCTTTGAACTACGATCTCTAAGAGTTTGTGGGAGAAAGAGTAACTGATAGCTTAAGATGGTAACGAGGGAAAAACATTAGACCTGTTTCATTTTTTGGGAGGTGGTGCATTTTGTTTTGTTACGGAGCTCATTGATATTATTTTGAAGATTAAATAGGACATCAAGGGCATTTAATGACGTTATATTCATCAAAATATTATTGAAAGACTTGTGAAAAAATACCCCCAAATACATAATACAGGTACTTCTGTTTCTAATCTGTTGTCTTGAACTACTCACACTGTGAATGGATTCCTATCTGAGTGGGGGGCTAGGCTATAGAAATTTTAGTCTGTCAGCATTGAATGGTTCTGACAGGTAGGCGTAAAGCAGCCTGCCTTTATCATGGACCAACAGCTTCAGGTAAAATTCAAAGCAATTTTTTAATAAAAAATAAAATTCATGGAATGATTAGACCCTCTCTTCTTTCTTCCAAGCTAAGTCTTGCTTTGATGACAGATTTTGCTCATATAAACCTTATGCCCACATTGTCTGAGTTTTGTTCTCTGTTCCAGTGGTTCTTGGAAAAAATTGTTAGGGAAAAAAACCTTTTACAAAAACAAAATTGAAACGTCTTTCTGTAGCAAGCTTGCAGGTTGTTGGAGGGTGCCATTGGTAAGCTGTACTTTTTTTCTCTCCTTCTCTTGTTTTTGCTTGTATCTGTCTTATTTTTTGGTCCACTATATGACTGTTATGTTGTCGATGTACTTCTCTATCCTTAAAACTTAGAGCAAACTAATATGTTATAATAGCAATTATGCTTTTAGCTACTTGTTGAATGCATTCATTGGTATTTCTTTTTCACAACTCAGTAGATAGCACTGGCATCATTGGTGTAATAGTAAGACACTTTGCCATCACTCGTAGAAGATGTGAGTTTGATTTCTGTGTGGGGAAAACTTTTACCAAATATCTCCACCTTAAAGGATGTTGCATCCCATTCACGTCAGGTTGGCCTTGACTGACAAGGTCGAGGCAGTGTGTCTCCTAAATGAATTAAGTCGTGTCCATGGGAACATTAAGCATGTCCAGTACATATATATATATTTTTTGTAGTTTATAAATTTCTGTGTTTCTACTATATCATGCTCTCAGATTGCTCGGCCACGTAGCCGGAGCCCAAGTCCAGTGTCCTTTCAACGCGATTCAGATGCCGGCCAGAAGAGGCGGACGAGGAGTGGTCACTCGGGCAGTGTGGGAGCCAGTGATGGCCTACTTCATGTACAAGGCCCCACCCTCCTAGTGGGGGACGAGGGTGAGGAGAACTATGGGTCTCGTGACGGTGCGCGGATCAACGAGTTGTTGCATCACAGTCAGCCGGTGGATGCTTTGGTCACCGTTCGAGGAGACTCGCCTGATATCCCGGCAGTGTCAGTTAAAGAGCTGTTGGATCGGTCGTCAAATCCAAAGAGGAGACACTCGTCTGGAGGTGAGCTGTAGGAGAGTGTAGCATTGTTATCCCCACTTCCACCCCTTTTTCAGTTAGAATGAAAGCATTTTTTATAACTCGAACGATATGAGCCTTCTAAGTTCAATGAGTGGCTTGGATATGATCTGTTTGAGGTATGCTGAAATCAGTTGGTATCATGCTGCACTATGGTGCTTTGGTTTGAATCCCCAACTGGGTGTTCTTGAACTCATCTTGCCTAGAAAGTTTTTTAGGCTTTTCATTCACTTGATCTAGTGTTTTTGGAGGTGGACATTAAATTCAACAGTTTGTCCTCTTAAAGGACCTTTTAGAGAGGATTGGGACACATTCCCATAGTATAATTATCATATTACATCATGTCCAGCCCCTTCTGTCTTTTCTTGTCTTTTTTTTTTCTTTTTGTTCATGCCACCCTGCATATATAATGCTAACCGTAGGAACAAGAGCAAGCTTTCTTGGGCTTATGAACCTTTTTTCTTTTTGACTTCATGGTCGCTATTTTAAGTTTTATATATATATACTGTAAAATAAATTGTTGCTTATTCCATTTAAAAGCGAAGGCTGGAGATTAGATTTTGATTTCTTGCAATCTTTTTCAACATCTTAGTGGTACCTTCATCTAAAAGTACCAGTGAGTCCATGCAATTCTAAGTCAACCAACCAACAAGTCCAAATATAAAACCACACTAACCAACCTTTGAGTGGTGGTCAACCAACCATGAAGTCTACACACATCTATCTAATGCAAGCGTCCAGATGAATGCATAATTAACCAACCAAAGAGTTCATACAGGTCTTAATCAACCAACCACCAAGTCTACAGACCTCTTCCTACTACAACTGCCCAAATTACTACATAATTAATGAAACAATGAGATTAGAGTCTACATAGCTCTTTTTCAAGCAAATACTAAGTTTACACACCTCTATCTAATACAACCGTCCAAATGAATACATAATTAATCAACTGATGATTCCGATTCCGCATGACTCTGTGTCAACCTACCACTGAGTCTACACGCCTTCATCTAAAACAACTATTGAGTCCATGTACCTTCACGTCAACCAACCACCGTTCCACACACCATGAATCCATTGACCTCCATGTCAACCCAACCAGTTACATAATGATAAAGTGTTCTGGTTTCTGCAGATGCCTCAGGCTCTGATAGCCCAGACTTTGTCTCAGGCAGACTCCTAACAGGCGGAGGTATGCTCAATGCACACTTTTTTTCCCCCCGGAAAGGGGGGAGGGGATATGTGGGGGTGAAGGGGGTTATGGTGGGGCTGTGATACTTTTATGCAGTGTACACTGTACAGTAATACACGACTGCATGTTGTTTTTACATTGTTCTTCATTTTCCATCCTGGTTACCTGCTTATTTCTTATTTTTAATTGGTGGTTTGGAGGCGTTACATGAAAGTCCGATTTCTGTTCTGTACTATTCCTCAAATGTCTTCATGTGTCGGTCCGTCGAATTCTTTTTCTCGACACCCTAAACCTAAATATTGTCTGCATGCACCCCCCCCCCCTTTTTTTTTCTCCCCACCCCCAAAAAGGAACATAAAAACATCACAAAACCCCCCCCCCACCTTATAACAAAAACAAACAAACCAAAAAAACCCCAACTCAAACAACAAAAACTTTCCCCTTCCCTCCACCCCAGCGCCGAGAAAAACCAAACATTTTTGTAAATCTGGACTACCTTCACCTTTTTAGGATCATTTGTCTTTAAAGGCACGTTTGTTCAACACTATCCTCCGCCAGTAAATTTTGTATGTTGAGAATGGGTGTGGGATTAGCAGTAGTGTGTGTTGTGTGTGTGTGTGTGTGTGTGTGTGTGTGTGTGTGTATGTGTGTGTGTGTGTGTGTGTGTGTGTCTGGGTGTTTGTATGTGTTAATGTTTGTCGATGGATGGTCATAAGGGCATAGCCTTCTTGGATTAGGCCCTGTATAGATTCCTATTATCATTATTATTGTTGTAATTGTTATTATTATTATTTTTATTATTATTATTATTATTATTACTTAATATTTCATATTAGGTGTATTTGAATCCATTCTCTGTGAATGCTCTATTTCTCTTACACGTTCCTTATCTAGGCAAATTATTACATTAGGCTTTTCACGTTACATTTCGCTTTGTGCATGATGGCCTGTGGTAAGCTTGCATTTCTGCAAATGCGCATACAAAATTGATGGTTTTGCATGTGCCATTAGCTGGTGTCTCTGCGCTCCTTCCATGCGACTGGGTTAGTGTCTGTATGACACTGCTTGGTAAATGCCTTTGAGGAAAACTCGGGTTTTTAGCAAGAGGGTGGTGGTATTTATTTATTTATTTATTTATTTATTTATTTATTTATTTATTTATTTATTTATTTTAACGCAAAGTACATGCATCATCCAATCAAAGAAATGAGTGGCGAACCACGATTGCCGATGTCTGTTTCAGAACTGGTTCTTGAAGAAATAGGATTTATCTATTAAAGTACTGTGTAAAACCCGCGTCTGTTGTGTAGTGGTTTGGCGCCTCACCGTCGGACGCAGAAAACATCGATTCTTGTTTGGCAAGTGTTTTACGGCGCTCGAAGCGGCATAAGGTCATGTGGGCGTGCAGGACACGTTAAAAACATTTTCAGTTTGGTAGGAGTTAATTTTGAATTTTGCCCTGGTGTCGGCCGAAGCCTACTCATTGATTTGGGGCCACCAAGGGATCTTTAAACATGCGCAATTTGCTCACAGGACTTCCGAGATTTTTGGGCCCTTATCCGAGAAGGATAGGTGTTAAATTTTATCTACCTTAAGATTTGGAGTGTGGCTACAGTAGTAAGAAGTAGCCGAGGAGTAGCAGTAGATAGGCTTCAGAAAGAGTCAGGAGCTCAGAGGAGGGGAGAAAAGGGGGTGTGCAGAAAATGGAGACGAAAGCAAACGACTGAACATACGAGTAGTTGGAAAGCAGGTGAAAAGAAAAGAAAGTAGAGAAGAAAACTCACTGTCGCTTTCTGGTTTCAAACCGAGGACCTATTGAATGAGTGGCGGACATCGTGACCTCTAGACTCGAGAGCCCCCTGTACGAGTTTAACACCTCTATTAACTCTTTTATGTTAATTAAGAGGGAGGACCTCCGAATTTAACATATGTCTCCGAAATCAGCGTGCCAAATTGGTTAAGAGCCTTGAAAACTCAAAAAAAAAATAATTTTTAATTCGAGTTTACTGACCCTCAGACTGGGATTCGAACCAGGGCCACCGGCTCCAAAATGCAGCATGATACCAACTGACAATTGAGCTAACGGCGCTCCCCGGTGATGTTTGGTGTTTTGATAAAGAGGGTTTTGGGTAGCTTATCGTGCCACAAGTCGGGCTTGTACGTGTATAATCGGCCTGGGGGCTGACCGGCGATTATTAGTCTCTCCGCTGTTGACCGCAGAGCTAGTGGGTTCAATTCCCGCCAGAGGAAGTTATGTTATCGCCAAGGAGGTTGTATTATTATGATTGTTGGGTCCTTGGTTATGGCCGGCGTGTCTCCGTGCGTCTGCTCGTGTATGTATGTCGTTTTTTTGTCGTGGTATCTCACTTTACCCTGGTCGTAGGCGAGTACTCTGGTGTGGTTTGCGCCTACTTTCCTATCAAACATCTATCGGGCGGGGAGGGGGGGGGGTGCTCTCGTGGTCTAGAGGTCACGGTGTTCGCCTATCATTCAGTAGGTCACGGTTTCGAATCCGGATAGCGACGGTAAATTTTCTTCCGATAAAATGTTCTCCTTTCGTCCTGATTTCTAACAATATTCTGTCGTCTGCTTTCGTTTGCACTTTCTGCCCCCACCCTCTTTTGCCCCCTCCTCTGGGCTCCTGACTTTTTCTGCAGCCTTTCTACTGCCTCTCCTTGGCTCCTTACTGCTGTCTTTCAGCCACACCTCTGATCTTATGGTAGGTAAGATCTAACGCCTGGCTTTCTCGGATAAGGGCGAAAATCTTAGAGGTCCTGTGTGCAAGTTGCGCACATTTAAGATCCCTTGGTGGTCCAAAATCGACAAGAGTAGGTTCCAGCCGCCACCCTGGCAAAATTAAAAATGTCCTACCAACTGAAAATGTTTAATGTTTCCCGCGCGCTCATATGACTTTATGAAGTCGCGAGCGCTTAAAACACTTACAAAAACAGCAACAACAACAAAAAAAGATTATTAGGCTTTCCCCCCGTTGGCGGGTGCTGTTCTCGGGCGAGAAAGTTATGTTATCGCCAAGGTGGTTATGCGGTTATAAGGTCCTTGGTTATCGCGTATCTCCGTGTGTCTGCTGCTAGTACATGTACGTCGTATATGTCGTGGTATCCCACTTTGCCCTGGATCGTAGACGTGTACTCTGGTGTGGTTTGCGGCTAGTTTCCTACCAAACATATATCGTCTTTTATCTCTCCTTTTAGTGTTTGTTGCTCTCTTGTAATACCTTTAATTTTAAACATTTATATGACCTAATTGTTTTGCAGGTGCCGTAAAACTCTTTATTATTATAAAACAGAAAGGCCTGCATATCCTTGGTCGGCCTTTACTGGTTCGGTCGAAACTGTGTCGATGTGTGCGTAAAGCTTTTTAAAATAATTTGCATAATTCTTTACCTCTTTTGAAGGCAGAAAATGGGACCATAAGCCGGTGTACCTAGCTTATCAGAGGAAATTCGGGACGCGTGAACTTTGGCATATTTTAAATCATATTTAATATTGTACCTTGCTGCTGCTAGATATGCGAAGGAGGTCAACGTTTCTGCCCACTGAACGTAATAATAATGATGATGATGATGGTGGTGGTTATGATCATGGTGATGGTGATACACTCAATATAACAATAGGTTGAGAGCCTTGAAAAAAAAAAAAAAAAAAAGAAGATGATCCGAGTTCAAGAACCCCCATATCGGGATTCGATAACAACAATAACAATAATGATAATATAATAATTACAGTAATAATGATGAAAATAATAATGATAGTAGTAATAATAATAATGA